CGAACGCACATTTTTCACATCCCTAACACCATCACAGCATGTCTCACTCAATTGACGATGAATTTCAATGGGTGTTACGCCCCGCAAGTGGAGAAAACGGATGATTACACGCTGTTCTTGTACACTGAACGTCGCCATTTTAAGTATTGGAAACGCTTCTCACTCGTGCGGCAGCTACAAGAACCCTGTGCGCTGTACGGTGCTGCCATCTCGTTCATGCATAAACAAAGAGTACCCGCGTATTTTAAGCTCAAACGCATGTTTCTTTCTGCACCCGGTCCCCAGAAAAAAATTAGGAGACCTTAGAACTTGAACGCACCTCGTACAACAGCATTTCCGTTCCGGTATTCCTTCGTCTTGTGCACACCAAGTTTACATAGACTTCGTCTGGGCTTTGTCCCGTGCACACTGTTCGGGGCGATGTTAATTGTTCATAATTGAGAATGGATCGGTCGTGGGTGTTGTACGAGTCTATACTGCCACCTACGGCCGTCACAATAGAAGTGAATGGTGTTCTCCCAGATGGGAGAGGGAGAATCATCGTGACCGGCAGCAGGACTCCCACGCTCAACGCGGAACGCATTGCCCGACGTTACAGCGAGAAGAACGAACGTCGACCAGACGAACGTCCAGCAAACCGAGTCACGCGTAGACGAGGCCACGATGGCATTTTACCTCGTAATTACATATGCGAATTTCTCTTGGTGAGGTGAGGATGCACTCGCGTCACCGACAATCCCCATAGGGAGATTTCGCGTAGCAGTTGTCTGATGCTGAATGGCGGAAGTGCTATCCCGCCGGCGAGTCGATTGAAGGGCCTCATAACGATCGCCATTCTTTGGTAAGTCGGCAACAATGAAAATCCCGCATCTGAAGCTGCACAAACATGAGTAAGTCGATATAGGTTCGCATGACGTATCACTTTCCCAATCTCAGATGAGATAACCCAGAAAGGTGATAGCACAGTGAAGAGATAGAGGTGAGGGAAATGTCACCCTATACACAAAACGGGAAACTCCTTCCGGTTCGGGGACCGGTTTCTTCCCCGGCCAGTGACAGTTATTCCTTAGTTACAGTTGCAAGAGTTCATCGGTAAACAACAAAGTTGTGTTGGGGATTGCCAGTGACAAGTGAAACCTGTGCCCTCCTCACAAAGGGATAGAAATTCGATTATACCGAAGTTAGTGAAGTTCACAGATGTCTTAGGTACATCGATGTCTGATTGGAAATGAAAAGGCAATCGTAGCTTCTTCTTCGCACGGGTGTCTGCTGGACGGTCACCCTTCTCGTCGTTACGTCTGTCAGCGCGTTCCGCGTGGAACGTGTGGGTTCACACATCATTGGAAATTAGTGTTCACATAACAAAGTTGAGATTCATATGCAGTGTCCCCAGGAATTGACAGTGTCCACAAGACGAAGGAATACGGCAGTTCCTTCTTTCCCTTTCCCCTTTCGCTCGCGGTTCCATTATTCCATCAAAATTCACGTAGCGATAGGACTAACCAAATATTTCCTAACCGCCAGGAGGTTAGGAAAACCATGGAGACGAGCCCCCATAGAGCCAATCTTTATTGGGTCAAGCATTGCATATCATCGGCAAAGTGCTTTGACCATCCTTGGTTGCCAACGTTGGGCCAATCCCGTAATGTCTCTTCGGCCAGCGGAGAACCAATGAATCCGGGCAAGAATGGCCCAATATTGGCAACATGTTTGCGGCTTTCTTGGCTGCCAAGAAAGGCCCAAGATATAAGTATATATATATTTTCCGCAAGTTCCCATTATTGTCCAATTGCTTACTTTATTAATAGTACTCGATATACTTGTTATAGTACTTGAGCTGAGCTAAGTCATCACTCAAGAGTAACAATATTAGTACTCAGGAGGTGATGCTCAACTCTCTTGTTCAAAATAGTATACACGAACTCAAACCACTCATCCCCGTCCCATTGCCCAGACGAGGTGGTCGATGGTTGGAGTTCACAAAACAGAAAAGGGTTTTCAAGTTCTGAGACCCCAGGACGATGCGAAATTATTCATAGACACAGGGATTCCTATTGGGATGATTGTACTTTCACGTGACTTCGTATAGAATAGGAATTTTATTCCCGAATAATACCATTAGCAAAATAATGCGAAAATTCTTTATTCGATACAGAATTGTCAAGTCTTTCGAATGGTGAAAACAGCATCTCGATGAGATCAGGCGTTGAGAAGTTCAATGGGTGAGTAGGACTTTTGACTCACCCTATAGATGAGAACTTCAATTTTCGGATACTTACGAGTGCAATTGAGGCGCATTGGATCGTGCCATCCGGTTGATATGGCATCAATGATGGCAGGGGAATATTAGGGAGACAACGCTTTGCCAAAATTGGCAATATTGGCGAAGCTATTTTGCGTGCAGTCGACATATGTCGAATTTAATTGCAAGAAAACCTGGGGCCTTAGTTGGGCCTGTGTTTGCTAATGATGCGCCAATAATGTGAAACCAGACTAGTCCCACGAAAGGACCTATGTCCTCCACCAATGAAGTGCCGAAAAATGGCTAGCCAAGCTAGAGTCAGGAATGGGACAAACATGCCTGCATGCCGAAAATTTGCCGAGGTTGCCTTGCAGGGGCCATTGTTGGGCTAAGCTTTTTGGATATGTGGGTCCCCAGTGGCTGTTGTTGCTTGCAAGAAGCCCAGACCTCTCGACGTGCGACAACAGCCTACGGGGTTATATACAAGAAAGAGTTGTCGAGCAACGCCACCCGAGTGTCGACGATCTTAGAGAGAGTATTAGGAAAATCCAAGGAGTTTTCAGAGGAGTGAAATATGCCCGAAAGAATGCACTAAGCCCGGTAGACGACGACGCCCTCTGCCTTCATCGAAATTCTATCAGAGCAAATTTCTGACAGATCCACGATTGCCTGAACAATCCACGTGCATGAGTGCGAAAGGTTCAAGGCGAAGTGTGCGTGGATGGAGATGACGCCAGATGATCAAGCAGAAACATACTAGAAACATACACAGTATATAAGCTGTGCGGATCCACAGCCGGCATTGCCGAAAAGATGACTCCACGCATAACTATCATCATGAAGTTCTCATACGTCGACCTCGTCGTGTCCCTCCTGGTCATCGCCGGCGCCCAGGTATCACATTCCGAAGGGAGTTGCTTGGCAATCGTATTTTCGGAAAAGTGCGATTCATGCATGCTCCTTTAAGGAGAAGAGACGTCTTCAAGAGAGCTTACACGGCCCCGAGTTGGTGAAACTCGAACCATTGGATGGATTGGTGAAACACGAGGAGAGAAGTGTCGAAGACAGATTCTTTAAGGACCTGAAGGATTTCGAACTGCCTCAACTAGGTACGAGGGAGTTCATTCCATGCCTAAACGTTTTGAAATACAAAAGTTTCCTAAGCCCACGTTTGACGTATGCAAATCGTTCTCCTCGTATCAGGGAGTTTTTTAAAATATGGCTGGGTTACAAGGGCGATAAGAGATCGATATAGCCTACGCAGAAAGATCCTCTTGGTCGGAATTAGAAAGGCGGCGGGAACGTATATCAGGGTCCAGATTGGAATAACGCACTACTACTTATTCCACGAACAGGGAATAATATTATTGAGCTTCTTTCAAGGCCATGACCTTGACATCTTCATCGAAGGACTCTGGAGATTTTAGGGAAAGAATTGGGGCAATGGGCACCTTAGTGAAGTTTCAGGACAATGTCATGAAAGTTTGGTGAATTCTATTCCATTTCTCCTCTATCAGATATATAGAGTGTCAAGAACCGGACAATCTTAGGACAATTTATTCAGTATTCAATGAGAGGTAACAAAATGTTTCACAAGTGCATATAAGCGATTCCAGGGAGCGGTATATTGTGATGAAAGCCGCCATGTGAAGCTTTTTCTAGGTCAAGAACAAATGTTAGATTGGCAACAAAACAGCATCGCGAAATGCAGACATATCCCCGAAGCAAGCGATAGGGCGATGATTGGCAGAGTCTGAATTATCAATCAAATAGATAGCGAAGTAATTTGAAGTCATTTTTCAGAAGAGAGGCAGATGAGGCCGATATCTACTAGGACGAGGTCGACGGGAAGGACAAGAGGGGCTGGAACCCCAAGATCGAGAGGGACTGAAAGGCCACAATGGACAGAAACCCACAGATCAAGAGGGGCTCGAAAGTCAAAATGGACGGGAACGCCTAGATCCAGAGAGACTGGAAGGCCAGAAGATGAATGGACAAGGAAGACCACAAAAGGTGCATCAGGGCGCTGGTGATGTTGAACTGGATTGATACCTATCAAACTGCAGAACTGGAAATAAGTAGCATTTCAATCTGAAAGGATCTCTTCCTTTCCTACTATTCCTCCAACTTCAAGTTCAGTGAACGGCGAATCCCACAGAAAACTGCTTACTGATGTTCGACTCATTCTTTCACGAAGAAATTCATGAACATCTTTATTAATTTGTATTTCGAGTTACGCAAGGAATATACCGTACTTCGGGTAATTGCGAAAGACTCAATAATTCCATGCATGTTTATGTCAACCCAATGCATACGACTAGTACGCGTAACTTAAATATAATAATATGAATTATACAGTACATTTCGAAATGACGGATCATAAGCAGGGTCTAGGGAGCAGAAGCTAGGGAGCTCTACTTCGGTATCGAAAAAACTATAAGGTGTGTCCCAAAAGTATCCGAACTTTTTATATACAGACAGTATTAGTGGCGCCATTTGTTGAAAGAAGGTGGCGTTTTATTGGTTGAACCTTCATGTATTACTCTGTTGAGTTTGGTTGTGCTAAGACGAATGAGTCATTGCCTAGGGCGCCAAAAGTAACAGTATCGTTATGACACTCGTCGAGAAATCACCATGGAGCAGAGAGCTAACATCAAATTTCGTGTAAAATTGGGGAAAACATTTACGGAGACGCTCGAGATGTTGCGGAAGTCTTATGGGGAACAAGCACTATCACGTACAACAGTTTACGAGTGGTATGCAAAATTTCGGAATGGTAGAGAATCGTTGGAAGACGATGAACGCAGCGAGCGCCCTTTGACCAGTCGAACGGACGAAGCAGTAGAAAAAGTGCTTGATTTCATCAATAGCGACCGTTGCATGTCCGTGAAACTCATTGAGGATATCATAGGTATCAGTAAATCACAAGTTTACCGCATTTTGACCGAAGATTTGCAGCGGCGAAAAGTCTGTGCGCGATTTGTTCCGCACTCATTGAACGACGATCAAAAACAAGCCAGAGTGCTGCATACCCAAGACATCATTTCGATTGCCGATAATATCCCAAACTTTTTAAAAACCATTGTAACTAGCGCTGAAACATGGTGTTTTCAATATGAGTCACTCACGAAGCGCCAGAACTCAGTTTGGAAAACTGCAGAAGAATCAACACCAAAAAAAGTGCGCATGCAGAAGTCAAAAGTGAAAACAATGTTAATCACTTTCTTTGATTCGGCTGGGATTATCCGTAAAGGATAATCTGGTAATAGGAGTTCGTTCCAGAAGCTCAGACGGTAAATAGCTAATACTACCTCGCCGTTATGAAGCGTTTGCTGGCCAGAATTGCTCGGGTCCGTCCTCGATACCAAGCACCAGGCAGCTGGTCTCTCCTCCACGACGGTCCACAGGTCCATCATCGTGCGGAAGTTTTTGGCCTCAAAAGGATTCGTAGTGCTTGACCACCCGCCCTATTCGCCTGATTTGGCACGCTGTGATTATTTCCTCTTCCCCAAACCAAAAATGAAGCCGAAAGGAAAGAGTTTGACACGATTTTGGACATCCAAAAGGCTTCGAGCGAGGTTATTTCCGCCATCTCGGAGGAAGACTACCAGAGGTGTTTCCAAAAGTTGTATGATCGCTGCAAAGCTTGCTTTCCTTCGGCAGGGACGTATTTGAATAATCAATAATAAAAATTATAAATATCACATGGGAAATGGATTTGTAACTGAAGTTCGGATACTTTTGGGACAGACCTTGTATATTCGTGATTCCGTAGTACGAGTGAAATCCATAATCTCCTTTGATGAAAAAAAAAGGAATGAAGAGACTTACTCCAAATAAAAATTCAAGAGGTTTCTTTCGAATGAATAACTTTAAGTTCTTATTACGAAGATTTTTCATTGATTCATGTCACTGGAACAAAAGAAACACACTCAGTTTCTGAAATGGCCATTCACGATCACAAATAGAGAATCTCAAATCTATCAACATATCAAGAATCTTATGAATCTAGCGGGAAAAGGTGAAGGAAAAGATCCAAAAACAAAACTATGAACACTTCTTACATATCTTTCGTCAAAAGCAAAAACGATATAAATCAGTTCTCCTTCCTCAAAATTTAAAACAAGTCTGAATTGGAGTGTGGGAGACTGCAATCACGAAGTTTTCCAAAGAAATTATGCAGTATACTTTGAAAATCCTGGGTCAATAACCTGGAGATCTCTCTCCCTTTGCAAAATATGCTAGTGCACATTTCTGCCAGATCCAGGACTGTCATGATGACGCAGGTGCAAAACGAAAATATTACTCATGAAAATGATGCTAACGTGGAAAGCAATGACGTACTTGACATGAACCAGGAACTGAAAACGTATATAATGCGGGACCAAAGAGCTCAAACGGCATCCACCGAGAGGATTCTCCACACACAACGTTCATCATGAAGATCGTTTACGTTGGACTCCTGGTGTCTCTCCTGGTTCTCGTCAGCGCCGAGGTAACCCATCCCACAGCAAGTCACTTGGAACCGTATTTTTTGACAAGTGATTTTAATTCTTCTTACTTTCAGGAGAAAAGAAGTCTTGAAGAGAGCCCAGATGGCCTCGAGCTTGTGGACTCCGAGGTTGGAAGTCCCGAAGCCAGATTCCTGGAAGATCTGACTGAACTGGAGCTGCCGCAACTTGGTGCGTTGGTTACTCACATCTTATTCAGCAGAGACGTTGTGTCAACATTGATGGAATGTAATGCTCAGAAGGTTGAATATGGCAGTAATGAAGTAATGGCTATACCTTATTAACAGCATTTTTGACTCGTAGTAAAAGATAGCGTCGTCGCTTATAGGATATGCTGCGCAATCCTTTTCCTTATTCGTCCTCATCAAATTCATTCAATTTCGACTTGTGGTTCTTTTCAACATTGCAGTAACATATAAACACTATTTTAGACAACGTTGTGGGAATTTAGGTGCTTAAAAACGTCAATCGTCGCTGAAAATTGACAAAACGTTGATGAGGTGGGAACATTAATTTGTTGCATTGCACCTTATACTACGACAGTCTAAACGTGTCCATGACAAATGTGAATAATGTGATTATTATCCATCTCATGAAACTGGCTCATCCCATTCGTGAATTCTCGTTGTCGGAATAGTATTAGCATAAATATGTGATTGAACATTTCCGAAATGTTGCAAATTGATAAACACAAAAGAGATTAAGAATTACTTCGGGATTTCCCCCTCATGTGCACTTGGAATGTTTCTGAGATACTAATACGAATGTTACTCCAACATTATCTACCAATATTTAGAGAATGTCGACATTGACAAGAACCTGATGCAATATGGACTTGAAAGTTTTAAAGAATTGAAAAATTGTCCTGGAGGACAACTTTTCAAATGCTTAAAGAACCATCCATATACATATAATTTAATCATGCCTCAGTGGTAAACATGAATATTTTAAGTGTGTTTCCTCGTAATGGAGCGGTGTTAAAGTGATGCTGCTATGTATTACTTTCCACATGTGAAATCTGGCTTGCGTGCATATGAGGGTAATAAGGATGGAAAATCAATATCGTGATATGCCGATATTTCGACGAAGCTGTTATAGTAAATCTTCATCATTTCACAGAACAACGTCAGAGGAGGCCGAGAGGAACTGGGAGGCCAAGAGGGACTGGAAGGCCAAGAGGGACTGGAAGGCCAAATGGGAGTAGAAGGCCAGGAAGGCGAGGGAAGAGGACCACAACGGTTGCATCACGTTCCTTTCAGGAGAAAAGAAGTCTTGAAGAGAGCCCAGACGGTGCTTTTCCAGGTGAAAATGTCAATATCAATTCAGATTAGGTGCCAGTGAGACCACGTTCTCCATCAACATTGCAGCTACTTAAGACTTATGTTCATCAGTCCTGAAGCATTATTGTAACACATGAAATCGTCTATATAACGATCTGCAACTTCAATGCAATTATTATTTTTCAGCATTCGAGCGTCGTTGACGTTTGACACATTGATGCAAAATGCGATCATCAATATTTCTGATGTTTTTGCTAGAATGTTGCGTTATTTGGGAGGTGCAAATTGGAATCACACATTGCTATTTAACACTTCTTGGTATAGGAAATGAATTTACATTGAAGAATTGTATTGATTTGATAGAAAGTGGCTACAGGCAATCGCTTCTTAATGAATCTAACTCAATTTCCTCTTTCTCAGCAATATAATATGCCCAAAGAAGGATCATCTACATACATATACTATAATCTTGATTTGGTGGTAAACATGAATATTATAAGAGTGTTTGCTCGTAATGGAGCAAAGTGATGCTGCTATGTATCCATTTTCCACATGTTAAATCTACGTTGCGTGCACATAAGGGTAATAAGAAGCAAAAACAATATCGTGATATGCCGATATTTCGACGAAGCTTGTATAGTAAATCTTCATCATTTCACAGAGCAACGTCAGAGGAGGCCAAGAGGTACTGGGAGGCCAAGAGGGACTGGAAGGCCAAATGGGAGTAGAAGACCAGGAAGGCGAGGGAAGAGGACCACAACGGTTGCATCAGAGCCCTAGTGCTGGCTAGCAGAATGCCAATCGAAAAGCAGAACTAGAAATAAAAAGCTTCTGAAGCTGAATGGATTTCTTACTTACCCATCTGTTACTCTAACTTCAACTTCAGTGAAAGTCAAGTTCCACTGAAATATTAATATAAATAAGACGTGGAACCAGATACGCATAGAGACTTATCAAAACTAGGGATTCGTTTAATGGGGCATATGTATGGTGCATATTGCCTTATAAAAAAAAAAAAACAAGCATTTTTTATATGATATTTTAAAACTATTTTGTAAACGATCTAAGACCGATGAATTAGAAAACGATTGAAATTAGATAGGCCTGGAGGTATTGAAATGAGGAATAGGTTTTTGTCAGCATTTTATTCTGAGCCGTACAAACCTTGGCTCTGTTTACCGGCGGGTCTTTCCACTTTACGTTTATAAATGGCCATCGCCATCCTTCAGCAATACAGAAGTTTTTAGAAACTTGTGTCATATTCTGGACAGCACCTACATTAGGCATAAAATCAGTTTTTAGAATGCCACTGCTCTCGTTTTCTTACGGTTCTGGCCGCATTCTACCTATTCAAGTACTTCATTTTGAGGTTGGTCCTAGTTCGGATGAAGCAAAGAATGGGATATTTGGACATTTCTGGGCATTTCTATTGCAGTTCAGTTGTCAAATCACTAACCGCAATTTACCTTCTCCGGATGTCATCCCCATTGTGAAGGGAAAATTCTTATTCCAAAATCATTGAATCCCTAAGCCAAGTTGAAAAGGCTCCACAACTTTAACATGCGTTAGTCAAGAACTATATGGGCACCACGACTTATTCTTCGAATCCGAAATTCACTTTCTTAGTCATGAACTGGGCAGCGGCCTGACCTTAAAACTTTCACACCTACTGTAGAATGAATGCTACTTATTCTGCCAAGGATCCTGTTATGCTTGGTCTTCTTTCAAGACACCTACGTTATTGCAACATTTTATATCAACATTTATAGAAAATCTACATTGACAATATTCTGATGCAATATGGGCTTGAAGATTTTAAGGAATTAAAAAGTTGTCCACAAGGCCACTTGATTTGATGGAGACGTACGTTTGACTTTTCGAACATACACGAAAGTGCCCTTCTCCCTTTTTCCTGGAATCGTCCCTCACAGGAGAGTTGCCATGTCTTGCCTAGCCTCGTTATAGTAATTAATGAACAAAAACACTATTTTTTATCCACATATTCGAGACAGATTCATGGAATCCAGGCAAAAAAAAATACTGTACTTGAAATGAAACCATTCCAAAAACTAAAATTCCTCCTGCAGGAGATTAGGAAAATGATGCAATGGATTTAGAAAAGGTACATGAACTTCGATCCTTCGTCACCTCCGGCGTGAGATGGGTAGGTTAGTATTTGTAGACACTCCATAGAACTTGACGGATTGATGATTCCAGAAAATGCGTTTAATTTGGCACATTAAGTGGATGATGTACTCCAAAAAGCGAAGAAGCTGTTGCCTGCCAGATCACTCACGGAAAGGAAATGATGGAACTCTACTGTAAGAAAAGCAGGCTACAATAATTAATTCTTTCATCCCTTTCTTACAAGATGACAAAGGAACATGAAACCACAAAAAGGGGGTTAGACTCACCATTTCCGTTTGACACCGAAATGAGAAATCCCATACTCTAGTAGAACCGCCTTCTATGGTCCTTAGCCGAATATCTCTCATCCCGAATGAGCACAGTAATGGAAATTGGACCGAAAGAAGAGAGGGAGAGATGGAACAATCAAAACTAAACGATTATGAAAACCTCTCATACGTGTTTTATCAGGTCGCATTTCCGAAACGTTTGAAAGAGTGGAGAGTGGCAGCTTATTCTAAGATGTTTCAGAGGATAAAACCACCTAGAAGTGTTCACGGGAAGGATTGAGCTCCCACTGCCACGGACACCTAAAGGACCTCAAGATGGGAACTGGGAAACGAAGTGATGGTCAACTTCGAGTCCAAGATGCTAGCTGTCTTTTCGACAATATTCAACTCTGCGGATTCGGCTGAATCTGATGGTCTCGCTTAATGCGTGGGTGCCAGGTCTCAGGAAAACATACGTTCGACAACTGCATTCCATATGAACATCAACTTTTCCCTCATCACGGATCGCAAACGCCAGACCTGCTGCAAGGCGATCCCCCCCATACCAGGCCTCCCAGTGGTGTGCTTTCGCTCTTGCTCCGAGGGGGACGAGAATGGGGTCAACCATGTTTCTTTCCTAATTAAACGCTTTGTGTTCGCCCAAGGAAATAATTGCATTTCAATAATACTTCGGTTCGCCTCTAGAGTTTCAAGAACAGGAATATCAACAGTAGAATTTTCGCTTTCCCGTGACACGATGCATAAATTTCCTGGTCATTGTGAAAGAATCAACTATTTGCAATACAAGTTTCGGGGATACAAATGATCATTCCCCTACATGTACTCGTAGGGTTGCAACGGGAAATTGCTTTCTTCCATGCGGTATTTTGCCACCAGGGGGAAGGTTCTTGCATCAGAAGAAAAAGAAACGCAAAAGAAAATAGAAATGCTCTGTCACAAAATCTGTATATGAGAATCCTGAGTATGAATAAAACCCACGTGTTTCCTTCCTGGAGAAGGGAAACGACGGAATAAACTTGTCTAAAATATTATTGTTTACTTAAATTTAAATTAAAAAACCGCAAGAAGCATTTGAATTCAAAGTTTCTTTTTCCGTCTGCTCCATGGAACCCAAACGAGAAATGACATATTTCATAAAATCGCCTTTCATGATCATGGATATCTCTAATCCTCGATCACTGCACTTATCGTACTGGAAATCGAGCCGAAAGAAGAGAGGGATAGCTGGAAAAATTTTACACTTTTCATGAAAATTTACCACGTATTACCCACCAAATCCTCCAAAAACTATGCGAATCTGTTGAAAACCCTCAAGTGGTTAACCTTTTTAGCGCCACGCGGCGATCCAGGGGCTTGTTCGACCATATTTAGTTCAGGTGGCAAAGTAAAACGATTAAATAAAAATGACTCATAGAGCAACTACCTCCTACTATCAGCCCTTCTCTGGAATACGCCACTGTACACTCCGGCCAGACCCATGAGAGCCATAATGATCCAGGTGCAAAAACGAGAAAGATCACGCGTCAAAGCGATGCGTGCGTGGATGGTGACGACGCACTATTCCGAAAGACCAACCAGAAACGTATTAAAACCGCCAGTCGACAGCAGATAGCACCACTGAGAACATTCTCCACACGATCATCATGAAGTTCGTCTTTGTTTGCCTCCTCGTCTCCCTCCTTGTCCTCGTCGTCGCCCAGGTACCCCATCCCATAGGAAATTATTTAGAACCGTATTTTGAGGTTTTGAGATTTATTCATCCACTTTTCAGGGGAGAAGTCTTGACGACAGCTTCGAGTCGGTGGACTTCGAGGATGGAAGTGCTGAGAATAGATCCTTCGAGGAGCTGGCGGATTTCGATCTGCCTCAACCAGGTACGAGCTGTTTCATCGCATCACTATATGACCTGCAAGATTCTCCGAGTCCGCTCGTTATTGCCCTTATCATATAATCATTTATCTATTTCCAGAGCTGAGGCTCGCTGACAGGCATGGAAGGGGCAGACATGGGTCGAGAAGACCAAGGACATCAACAGCTGCAGCGGGACGCTAGTGCTCGTGTTCCACGAAAATCAAACCAATGAATAATAAAATGCTTTGATACATGAGACGTTTCTTATTTCCCCACGGTTCCCATAACCTCAAGTCACATAAGCAACAAAGCCTTCGAAAAAATATAGATGGGGAACCGATCTCCTTACCAAAAATAAGGATCAGTTCATCGGTGTAAGTGTCCCTTCTAGTTTTATCAGATTTTTCGGTGTGCATCAGACTGTAATGGACGAGAATAAGCAAATTCGTTTTTTGTTCAAGTTGCAACACCAATGGAACACAGAACACTTGCCGATGCCTTTTGCCCCAACGATTCCACCCTCTCATCTCTCATGGCTTTCAAAAAATCAGAAAGCGAGGGGAAAAGGGGCGCCATATAGGTATGAGAGAAAAAAAAAAGGACCTGTCAAGTCTTCCTCGCATTCTGACGGGAAACGTCCAAAGTCTGGATATTAGTTGACACCAGACGTAATCTGCTCCACCCTTCTAAGAACTTTTCGCGGGACCGAACACCTGAAAGTCGCACCAAGCAAGGTTCACGCCATAAGAGAAACAGAATTTCCTGTGAGACAGTTATTATGAAATATCAAGTGACCTGCTTGTCGCCCAAAAGGTTTCTTCCTAATGACAGGCCGCAATTCATTTGCACACGATATACAGTAATAAAACGAACCCTCGTCATCGTGCAGTGACAATTCTACGTTATTGGAGTCTTCAAAGACCGAAAACTTCACCAAACCGCTCTTACTACTTTTTGACATTTTCACCATGCCAAACGCCATTTTGCTGAAGGTGTTGCAGCCATAGTCGTACACTTTTAATCAGATTGAATTGGTAGCATCCGGAGGAGTGCGTCCGTCAAGGACAGGCAGGCAACCTTGCGGATGGAAGTTGAAGCATGAGTAGAACCTTCGCGGGTCTCCGATTCTCGATTTGTGGAGCCCTGCGCGGTTGTCTGCATTTCGATCTCTCTGGCTCATATCGATGGAGATTCTTAATTCTCCCATCGCATTGCCATATATGGCAACATAATAATTCCGAACATTTCTGCATCGCGAACTAGGCTTGAGATCTGATGGGTGCAGTAATGAGAATGTCGCATTTTTAAGATTGCATCTGCTCCCGAGTTGTCATATAAAGGACATTAGGGTTTCTGACGGCAGACAGAAGAGTCAACCGATAAAGAAAGTATGACGAGGAATACTAGTGAGAAACGGAAAAAACGAAAGCAAGAAACTAAGGTCCGAATCCTTAATCCTCACTTTGGCTTTAAGGCTCATCGCCTTTAAGCCGAGGTGCTCTTTCTTCTCCTAAGGAGTCAATGGACTTTTAAAGGACGCTCAACTAAATGAGATTTCGGCCATCGTGGCCGAGGGTTTTCAAACAGGACAGGGTAAGAAGAAATAATGTAAAAACCTAGAGGTTAGCCGGGGGTGCAGCTGAGAGTCTCGCATCTGCAGCTGGCTACGTTTTTTCTCATCGCATCTGTGTCTGGAATAATCCCTGCGAGATCGAACGGATCTCACCGATTGTTTTCGAATGATGAATTGCCGAAAACGATCCGGAATGCTACGATGTCATTGCCGCGAGAAGCGAAGATTCACGGAGCTTCTCCCCGTGGAAGGGCCAGCGAGCTCCAGTCCTCACTGCGCAGACGATCTTCGGAGAAGGGATATTTGAAAGGCTTCTGCGCGGATCACGCGATCACAGCTCCGCCCCCATGTTCATCGTCTGCTTGTTCTCGCCTCAGGCCGAGTTCATACTCGTGCCGTACGGCATGCTGAACGATGCAACTGCATACTGTCCAATGCAACATTCCCATATGGATCGGATTTTGCCGCTGCTGTACATGCCGTGCAGCACGAGTACGAACTCGGCCTCAGCCCGCACGTTTTGCACTTCGCCAGCACGGCGTGGTCACGGTGGATCGTTCCTGAATTATTGTAGGCCTACTGGTGCTCTTTCTCGGATAGCTGGCCGGACTGCTAAGGGTAGGCTAAATGCTCCACCTTCAGGGTGTTCAAACTCTGTAGATATTCGAAGCAAGAGAGGCTCCTTCGGATGGCTTTCGCCCGGTCCAGCCTGGAACAGAGGCATGGATCATCGTCATGTTTTTATCAGAAACTTCCCCTCGACGTACCCCTAATAATATGTTTAATTCGCGCCTAAAACGAATCGTTATTAGAATCTTGGGTAGTCACTAAATGCCCTAATGGATCTCAACTGCTTGGATACACTGGCTAAAGAGGACACATGGGCAATAATAAACAATTAACTCGCCTGCAACATAGGCCTCCGCAGACACCTGAAATCCTGGAAGCCAGGCATCAACTATGATGGCATGCCCCGCTTTTCCTTTATTTCCCTTGCTAATATTGGTGTGCAAGTCTAATGGGCCAGGTTTATACCTCTTGTTGCATTCCTTCAAATGATAAGTTGATGCGATTCGGAAGAGCAACAATAACCATTCAATTTGGTCTGTAATGCTCCAGGCATCATCATGGCTTCTGCATAAAAACCACCTTAAACCTCGGTCCTATGGGTCAAGAAACTGCTCAATCCGAGGTCCCGACTCATCAACAGAGCGTTAAAGAGCATTTACCTTCAACTTACCTCTCAGGCCAGCTGACGATGGCCGTTTGCCATTCGGTAGCAAATTTGGTCCAAGAACCTGTCAAGTAAGCCTACGTGAAATCAGGTAGAATCCACCATGAACGCGCTGAGCAGAGCTAGACATGCAGACTTGCGCGGCAAAAGCAGACGATGAGAATGGGGGCGGAGCTGTGGTCACGTGACCCGAGGAGAAGCCTTTCAAATATCCCTTCCCCGATCTTCGACGGCATACGGTGATGTTCGAGGACGAAACGTTATTTTATCCAGGAACACCATTTTTACCCAGGAAGACTGACATCCTGAGATTTCTAGAGTGTCCGGTTCTCTTCTGTTACTGGTCCTTGTCGGTATCTTCGCCAAGAACGGAGAGGATGGCTTCGATGGCGTGCATGCATGTTTTGGTGAGGTGGAGAATTCACAAGAAACCAGAAAGGGAAAGTGGAGTACGGCTTGGGTATACCCTCGACCATTCCCCATAGTTATCGTCTGAAGAAAGAGAACGTTCCCCAAGGATGGTCGTCGCTCGGTCGTTAAATCGGGGCTTTCGAGAAATGAACCCGACCGAGGGTTTCTTCCTCGTAAATGGAATCGCATGCATGGAACGAGTCCACCCACCATGCCTTTCGTGAAACCTGACACGGGTCGGCGTGTCGAGCGATGGGAACCCGATCGACACGGCCACGTCGAGACGACGACTTCTCGAGCGACTTTTCGCCAGAGAGAGGCCTGGAGCGAGCGTATGCATTTCCGCTCGGGGTTTTCACGCGGGATGAGAAATCCTTTCGCGTTTCTTCCATCCGATGTCTTTCCCGCTACGGAAGCGTTCGTCGGGGTCGATCCTTCGGTCGATCACTATCGTCGCACCCGAATCTGCTTCTCCCGCGTGGGAGGTATGATAGAGCCTCCGTAACCGGGGACTCTGGACGGAATTTCTCCTCGCCCCGAAGTGTGGTCACTCCCCCGGAGTGAAGCCTCACTCCGGGCCTCACTCCTTCGATTTCACGATTGTCGGGAGTCTTTCCGGACATTTCGACCTGTTTTCACGAATGCATTCCGAGATTCCAGGGATTTCTCCTGATTTCCAACTCCGATACGAGACGCTCGTGGACCCACCTGTGCACCGCGACCCCCATCTATGCACCGTGACCCCCACCTGTGCCCCGTGGCCCCACCTGTGCACTCGTGGTCCCACCTGTGCACTCGTGGTCCCACTCGTGCAACCGTCATCTCGTCTGAGCACGGAGCGCGTGTCTAACGCGCGGAGAAGCGTTGCAGGCGCGTTGCATCGACATCACGCGACATCGCGTTGCAGGCGTGAACTCGCGCAGTGTCCTCGGAGAGCCGATGGACGAGTCGTGAGGAAACTCTCACGCCGGTGGAAGTGGTTTCCACGTTTTTTAGACGTCGTGGGAGGGTTTTCCTATTTTCTTTTTGCCGAGGGCGCATGAGCAAGCCGTAAGCCAAAATAACTTTTGGAACTCGGGACGAGTTCCAAAAGTTATTTTCGTTGGCAGGATGAAAAACTCTTCTTCG